GTCTCGCGAAAGTTAGACAAAGTGGAACGCGTCCATGAAAGAATACAAACCGACGAGGAAGAGAGAGAGAGAGAGAGAGATGGAAAGAAGAAGATCGCGTGAGACAATATTAATGAATCCGAGAAAGCTGCTGCATTAATATCCATCCCGAAAACGTGCCGTGTGCGCGCCGATTATTCTTGGGAAAAATCGATAATACGGCTTACTTAATATAATACTCTAACAACAGTTATTATTACAACGTACCCCGAGTGCAACACGAGAATAGAGGATCCGCGGGCGGTTAGCCCGACGACGACGAAACAAAACCGTGACTCGACCGTTCCGACGGGGGGCGTCTATACATAGTTTTGATTAATGAACGTAAAAGGATACGTCTTGTTGCGGAAATAACCCCATCAATTATGAATTTATGCCGAATCGGGAGCCCGGCTCGTCGAGCTCGCGCCGAGCGGACGCATCTCTGTCGCATTTACGGACAATTAACGCGCTGCGCAGCGCGGAGATTAATAAACGCATACACATACACGCGCACATAAATACACACGACGCCCACGCGGAAGGCAGACAGAAGGTACGAGACGGGTATAATTTAGCGGCGGTCGCGAGGGGGAGCGTTAATTGAGAATGATCGACTCTCCTCGCCGGTGCGGCGCGGTTGGAACAAATAATGGCAGTCGGATCGAGCCGCCGCCGCGCGTATCGCATCGCCTCATCTCCCTCGTCTTATTTCGCCTTGCCGCGGTTTCTCGTGATTCCAATTTTTCCCCCGTGCCGGCACGATAAAGAGGCCACTCGCTCCTCGCCTCGAAACAAGATTGATCGCAAAGCCTCGTGGTGCTCGTGAACGCCGCGAAGGTGGGTGCAAACACTCGCGCGCGCCCACCTGGATTTTCGAGGGAACGACGGAAGATTAAATTAAGTGCTCTCTCTCTCTCTCTCTCTCTCTCTCTCTCTCTCTCTCTCTCTCTCTCTCTCTCTCTCTCACTTTCTCTCTATCGAAATTCCGGGAGGGGGCTTTGGAATAATGTATTATTGAACTCTCCCCGGAGGCTACGGGATTTATATCTGTGACATCTTTGCGAGATATACTCGTTTTAAGCACGGGGAAAACCGCGCTCCGTTAGTGTAACTGAATTTGCCTGGTAGTCTGGGAAAAATAGGGAACCAGGCAGGAAAGATTTGGCTGCGTGTATGTGTGTGAACAGTAAGATCCCTGCGGGAAGTTTCCATTTAGTCAATTGCTCTCGGTTATCTCGACCGTGTTTTAACGCAGTCGGATTGTTCAAACGGGTGTTTTCGGTGTCACGCGGTAACCGAGATATCTTATGTCGTCATTGGACTTTCGTCTGGAACGGTGCTGGTGTGCGGTTGCACAAATATGAGATTCTTTCTCTTCCTTTGTGACGTATTCGTATTACGTGTACGATGGATCTCGGGCTGACAGCCCGTGTGATTATCGGACGTGATCGATTTTTCATGTATTATTATACTCGGAATCCATTAACGCGTCGGACTGGGCGAAAGAGCATGGGTGACGACGGCAGAAAATCCCGCGGAGAAGTCCGAGAGCCGCTGTCTCTCTCGTATCCGAAGAACAAACGGACTTACTCTTTCGCATTCCGATAAAATACACAAACGCGATGCTCGCGCGGACAGGCGAGGATGGATCTGAGGCAGTCGGAGGAGAATTCTCCTGCCCTCTTCCTAAATGATTCTCTTTCTGATTGTTCTACCAATTACCAAATCCCTCGTATATACGATACTAAGGGGGAATCTATGCATTCGTGTGTGTGTGTGTGAGAAAATGAGTAAAAGAGAGAGACAAACATCGAGCGGTAAAACGAGACGAAAAGGGTGATAGAAGGTAATGGAGTGAAGGGTGGCGATGGGGAAAAAGAGAGAGAAAGAGAGAGAGAGAGACATAGAAGGAGTGAAAGAGCGGGAAAGAGACGCCACACACATACATATACATACAGTAGAAAGAGACGACGAACAAGAGGGGAGAAGCGCACACAATAGAAGCAATACGGGTAGACGAAGATGAAAGAGGCTCTCCGTCAGCGTAGAGTCTGCTTGGAGGAGAGGCAGGTAGATCCGCGCGGGCTTATAAAAGGCCGCGTATCCGACGCAGATGGAACTATCGATACCGTGGCAGCGGCGTCGAAATCGTTAAGCCACGTTTTCAGTGCTCGCTCGCTCGCTCGTTTCGTAGCAGAAAACGCTCGCGCTCCGACGGCGTGTTGTCCCGAGCCATGCTCGCTCGCCCGTGCGGGCAGGTGCTTCCAACATGTTCTAAATAAACCCGAGAGATAAAGCCGCAGTAAACGTAAGAGAGGACGGATTGCATAAGCTCCGTGTTGTGTTGTCGGCGGTAAATCGTTTTTCTCTCGCGTCAATCTCGCGTCGCTTTAACGATCTTGACGGGGCGATCATAGTCAGAAAGCGTTTCCGAGTGTTCGCCTCTGCCCCTCGCCCCTCTTTTTCTCTCTCTCTCTCTTTCTCGCGCGCGTCCGTTATGGAACTCGGACGGGGCAAACTGCTTTCGGGAAATGTAATTTCGTGCCCGGGCTTATCTAAATATCGTGGATCCCCGCATTTACGTGAAACCGATTAAATTGTTTCCTAAAAGCACTGTTGCTCTCTCTCTCTCTCTCTCTCTCTCTCTCTCTCTCTCTCTCTCTCTCTTTCTCTCTCTCTCGTTCTCGACATGCCTGAGTTATCCTCTTCGGTGGCTCTCCCGAGCGACCGATAATCGCATATTCAGGAGTCGTCACTTAAGGGGGAAGAATTTTAATTACATCTGAAACTCTCTATCATTAATGCTAATGAGAGAAACAACGTTAACCTCCTGTAATTGCAAGTAAATTGATATTATACCGTGCACCAGGGGCTCGTGGATTTCTTTGTGCTGCGGGGTTCCCTTCCCGGCAATCCGGTGAAACGTATGCACCCCTTCTCACATTTTTTGCAGGAAATAAAACGCGCGGTATTACGAAAAAATCCGCGAAATTACGCGAAAATACGGCTATCACGCGTGCAAAACGGACGAATTTGCCGAATCTGTCTGTCGTCGACGCTAGATTTCAATTAGGGGAAACAAGTGTGTAATTATTTTCTCATTTCGAGTTCACGCGAAGCCCCTGCGATTTATTCGCCGAAGTTTAAGAGTCCTCTCTTCCTCCCCCCCCCCCCCCCC